AACTGTAGATGTGTGACTATAAGGCCGGAGCAGTTCCATTTCATAAAGAGAAGATCTCAGGACCATCAAGAAAGAAGAGCATGATGAAAGTGCCAGCAGAAACAGTGGCATGGAAAAACAGAACAGTTTTGGGCTCTAGGCCCATGAACTAAGTAAATCTGAGTGTCTGTGGGCAGGAGGCTGGCTTAGAGAATGTGCCTTTAGACATTTAAATGAATTTATCATATGTGTGCAACAAATATTTTTGCATTGTTCATTTGTGGAATATAAGATGGATACCACAGGAGGAAGTATGATGCCCACTGTTACATAGAGGGGATTGTAATCGTTGAGATGAAACAAACTGTATGATTTGTTGAATGTAAAGCTGATTGATCTTGTCTATAAACCTTCACTTAATTCATTTAATAGTAAAAAAAAAAAAATTTTTTTTCTTTGTACTCAACCAAATTAAGACTGTTATAGAGACAAGGAAGGGCTGGTTGGTTAAAGTGTGGTGTGCCCTGGGGACACCTGAGTCCATGAGCAAGGGCATAGCCACCGAGGGCTAGAGCTGAGAGTGAAGCATCCAGATGATATGAAGTAAGGGGAGACGCACAAGAACACCCAAACTTGCAGACAGTACCCATTTGACCTAGCCTCAATGGCTTGATGATCAGAAATCGACTAGAGGAAGATAAAAATTATTATTATTTTTTTTTTTTGATAAAAGAAACGAGTGTAAATTACTACAATTTGATGAACTTGACCTATACATATGGATGTGGTGGTGGTGGTTATGTGCCCTGGAGTGGTTCCTACTCATAGTGACCCTGTACGCAACACTGTACAGGGTTTCTGAGGCTGTAAATCGTTATGGGAGCAAATGTCTCATCATTCTCCCGCAGAACAGCTGGTAGTTTCGAACTGCTGGCCTTTCGGTTCGCAGCCTGATTCGTAACCGCTACGCTACCAGAGCTCCTTACATATGGATGTAGTAGCTCAAAATACCAACAGAGAGGGAAGGAGTCTTCATATCAAGTATCAATGCTATCCCCTCTGTATACATGGTAGATAGGGACAAGCAACTTAAGACACTGGCTATCTAAAATGAGGGGGCGATAAAGGCATGAGGTGACGAGCTTACAAGTTTTCAAGAGGGAGTTTAGTTTAAGAGTGTGCAGGGGAAGGTAGAGTCCCCAGTGAATAGATCCAGACTGGTCTGGTGAACAGAGTAGGGGACAAGATTCCTATGATTCAATAGTAATTGTTATGACTAATTGAGTCACAACTTATGTAGATGACAAAACCTAGCTTGCAGAAAGCAAACAGGACTTGAAATAGTTGCTGATGAAGATCAAAAAATACAGCCTTCAGTATGGATTACAACTCGGTGTAATGAAAACAAAACTCCACCACACAAATGAAATGCTGACCTTGAGGTAAGCAGCCCGACTCATAACCACTATGCTACCAGAGCTCTTATCTTTCTGGTATTCTCTGCTTTTTCAGTTCAGAGCTAGCTGACACCAGCAATGATGTCCCTCATTTATGACTTGAATTTCTGGCACCTTCCTGTGCATGTACTGATGTAATCACTTACGAATTAACTTCAGCAAAGTTTTACTTGCATGTGATTTTAATAATATTATTTAATGATTTCCACATTCTTCTGGGTCACCTTTCTTTGAAATGGGCAAAAATATAGATCTCTGCCAGTCAGCTGGGCAGGCTGCTGTCTTCCAAATTTCTTGGCATAGATGGGTACTGTCTCCAGCACTGTATCAGTTTGTTGAAATATTTCAATTTGTATTCCATCAATTCCTGGAACGTTGCTTTTCACCAATACCTTCAAGGCACCTTGGACTTCTTCCTTCAGTACCATTGGTCCTTGATCCTATGCTAACTCTCGGAATGGGTGAACATCAAACAATTATTTTGGAAAGGGTGACTTTGTATATTACCTCCATCTTCTTTTTATGCTTTCTGGGTTATTCAATGTTTTGCCCATGTTGTTGCCATTATTACATGAAAAAAAAAAGAGATAAAACAAAAACAAAAAAGACTCCACACGAATGGACTGTTGCTGCTGTTGCTATGTGTCGTCAAGTCAGTTCTGACTCACAGTGACCCTGTATAAGGTTTCTGAGGAGGGACTGATAAGTCTGAATTAACGAACTTGCAGTGCAAACCACCTGAGATCTAGTGCTTATCCTGTGACACCATACCAGGAGTCCACGCAACTGGACTAAACATAATAAAGTAAGAAATAACTGATGTTGTCAAAGATCTCATTTTGTTTGCATCCACAATGAATGTTCATGGAAGGAACAGTCAAGAAATCAACTATTTATTTTTCTGACTAAATCTCTTTGAGTAATGATGTCATTTTCTTTGAGTAATGATGTCATTTTCAGAACTAAGGTGTGCTTGACCCAACCATGGTATTTTCAATTGCCTCACAGGTAAATGACAACTAATGAGTAAGTTAGACAGGAGAAGCATTGATACATCTGAATTATGGTGTTGGCAAAAAAAATATTCAAAGTACCTCTGCCTGTCAGAAAAACAAACTAATCTATCTTGGAAGAAGCACAACCAGAATGCACCTTAGAAAAGAGAACTGCAAGATTTCCTCTGACATACGGTAGACATGCTGCCAGTAGGGACCAGTCCTTGGAGGACATTATTCTTGGTGAAGTAGAGCAGTCAGTGAAAAAGAGATGGATTGACACAGTGACTACAACAAATGTAACAACAATTATAAGGACAGTGTTACAAGTCCATGTTACATTCTACTGTATAAAGGGCAGGTAGCTATAAGTCAGAGCTGACTCGAAGGCAACTAACAAGACTTAATTAAAAATTTTAAAGTTTTGTACATCAAGGGATTTATCAAAAAAGTAAAGACCCAACTCACAAAAGTGGAGAAAATATTTGTTAATATTTATCTGGTTAGGGTTTCATATCTAGATCATATAAAGATCACCTATATATAATGTAATAAGATATATATATGTGTGTGTTGTTGTTGTTAAGTGCCGTTGAGTCGGTTCCGACCCATAGCGACCCTGTACAGGGTTTCCGAGGGTGTAAATCTTTACGGGTAGAAAGCCTCATCTTTCTCCCGCAGAGCGGCTGGTAGTTTCGAACTGCTGACCTTAAGGTTCGCAGCCCGATTCATAACCACTACGCTACCAGAACTCCTATATATATATATATGTATATGATCATATAAAGATCACCTATAATGCAATAGGTGCTCTGTAAAGATTTACAGCCTCGGAAACCCTGTACAGTGTGGCTGTGAGTCGGAACCGACTCCATGGCACACAACAACATAATGCAATAAAAAGAAAACACAACTCAAGTTTTAAAAGGGGCTTAAACAGACCTTTATCCATATGCTCTTCCATTAATTATTAATGCATCTCAAAAATCACAATGAGATACCACTTCATACTCAGTTGTTAAGTGCTGTCAAGTTTGTTCTGCCTCATATGACCCTGTAAGAGTTTCCAAGGAGTGGCTGGTGAGTTTAAACTGATGACCTTGCAGTTCAAACCAACCTTGAGTTGAGTGCTTATCTTACAGCGTCACAATGGTAGAATGGCCAAGCATCAGAAAAACAGAAGAGCAGTGTTGGTAAGAACTTGAAGAATTACAAACCTTAATCTATTGCTAGTGAGATTGTAAAATCATGCAGTCACTATAGAATAGTTTGGTGGTTCTTCAAAAAGTTAAAAAGAATTATCCTATGACCTAGCTATTCCACTGTTAAGTATATACTCAAAAGAACTGAAATCAAGACTCTTAAACAGATCCCTGACATACAGGTTTCATAGCAGCGCTGATCACAATAACCGTAAGATGGAAACAACTAAAGTGTCGTTCAACATACAAATGGATAAACAAAGTGTGACATATATATGGTGTTGGTTGTGTGCTGTCAAGTTAGTTCAGACTCAAAACGTCCCCATATAGTGTTTCTGAAGCTGTAAATGTTTACAGGAGCAGAAAGCTTCATTGTTCTCCTCCAGAGCAGTTTGGTGGTTTTTGAACTACAGGCTTTATGTTTTTAGCTGCCCAACACGTAACCTACTACACCACCAGGGCTCCTTGTGACACATATATGCAATGAAATACTATCCAGCCAGTAAAGAGAAATGAACTTCTGATACACACCACAACATGAATGAACCCTGAAAACATCCTGAGTGAAGTCTGTCAGAAACAAATGGACAAATATTGTATGACCCCAATTAAACATCTAGGACAGGCAAATGCATACAGATTAAAAGTTCCATAGTTTTTACAAAGGGTTAGGAGGGGAAAATGGGGAGTTACTATTTAAGGGGTATAAAGTTTCTGTTTAAGGAGATTTTAAGTACTTGAAAATGGATAGTGGTGATGACTATACAACACGCTGAACGCAATTAATGTCACTGAATTGTATACTTAAAAATGGTCAAAAAAGACAAAGGCTACAAATATTATACGATAAAGTAGGGAGGAAAAGCTGACAATGACACTTTGAAAAGAGGATTTTAAAAATTAAGACCAAAATGAAAACAAAGTCTATTTTCTCAAACTCAAAAATAATAGTCAGTGTCATGAAATTAAAGACTGAGGCACTACTACAGATTAAAGGAGTTCAATCAGACATGACCAGGAATTTTAGATCAGAGGGGAATGAAATTTTTTATTATGGACAATACTGGAATAATTAACAAAATTTAAATATGGATTGTATATCATTTAATTGTATTACAACCATACTTCTTAAATTTAGTAAAGTGTTACTACAATTATGGAAGACAATTTCTTCAACTTCTTTTAAAACTCTTTAGAGGAAAAACAAGTACAGGTAAGGAAGTAACAAGTACTAACCATGCAATGTTTCTGTAAGCTTGAAATTTCAAATTAAGTTATAAAAAAAAAAAAGCTTTGACCACCTTTTACTGTTTCTTTTTTCATAAATCTGATCACTACAGAACACCAACAACCATTTGCACACCTACCTCAGGAGCAAGGACAAATGTCTGCATAAATCTTCGCAAGGCTTGGTTGTTATTAGAGAGCAACCCCATCACCTGGACCACCACACCATCGTTCAGAGTAGCATGAGCATCAACATGGCGAATCTTAGTGTGGCAATTGGTAAAGTTTTGTGACATCACTTTCCTATGGATTTCCTAATTAAGACAAAAATCAGTGTTGTAAATTTTATTACTCAACCAAAATATCTCTAAACACACAAATTTGCATATTGACCTTAGATAAGTATACAGACTCAACTTTATTTTTAGAATCCTCTATACCCAGTAACCACACTTGAGTCCTTTATATCCCACTGAAGTCACAATGATTAAATATGCTTAGATGATCTCCATGCTAAACCCAATTATCTCCCAGCATACCTAACAAATAAACATCTTACAACTTTTCTGCCAAAACTAACTATGCCATGGCATAAGCTTCTCAGCAGATATATTCTATTAAGCATAGATCAACCTGAATCTGATGGGTTATCTTCTAGCTACTTAATACCCTAATAAGCTTGGTAACCTTACTTTTTGTCCATAGACTGCATCTGCTGGTTTTCCATTTGAATCCAATCCTCCATGGACATAAGAAGAGTTCTTACCATAAAATCTGAACAAAAGGAAGAAATTTTACTTGTCATCTTCAAATATTCTAAGATCGGGTATTTATTTTTCAATTTGGTTAGTATCTGTCTCGCTTGTCATACACTTGAAAGCAGGAATATGCATTCTTGTTCCTCTTTGTATGCACTCATTGATTCCATCCCCAGTCAACATTTGCAAAATGGAAATGAATTTGGTCAATGAGGTAGAACATTATTTTACAGGTCACAGGTTTCAGGGTTCCAGGAGTGAGGTTGGTACTGGAAAGATTTGGTAGTTCCTATCAGGAAGACCACTGAAACTAAAACAAGAGTTCTCACATTCCCTTAGAATTAAGCTGGGAACATTCATATTCTTCAAGTTTAGATAGTCTTTCATATCTTAAGAATGTATGTGAACAGTTCTCATTAAAAATCAGCAGCAATACTGACAAAACTGTATCAATGCGTCTGGTAATTTTTATCTACTCCTATGTCATTGTCACATTCATCTAACTTCTAAAAGATACAGGTAAAACTTCGAAAAAGAACAAGAGAACATGTGTTCCAACCACCAGCAAATTTTTAACCTCTCTGTATGTGAAAAATTAAGTCAACTAATGTAAGCCTTTCTATAAAATACTTCTGATATAAAGCTCATCAAAGAGGAGACATATGTAAAAATTTTGGGGAACCTGCAAAATCTAAAGCAAACAGAAAAGATATTTTCCATTTTCAGAGCAAGGCCAAATCTTAAGACTCAAAAAAAGTTTATAACATCTCTTTACATCTAATGTGATATCCAATATATAAGCTGGCCAAAATATAAAGAGAAGAAATAATCTGGCAATTACAGATTTTATAACTTCTGTCAATGAATTTCTACTGTGGCGATGTACGACCAGCACTGGACTCCTAACCACTAGTTCATATCCACCAGCTGCTCCTTGGAAACCGTACACAGGGTTGCTATGAGTCAGAACCAACTCAGTAGCACTTAACAATAACAAATCCAAGTATTCTAATAAATCAATGTAAATAAACACTGTTTTATACAATGCATTGTAATAGGGAAAAATAATGGGAAGCAATCTACATATCCACCATTTGGGATTAAAATACACTTCATCTCAATCCAAAAAAAAACCTTACTGGCCATTAAAATGTATGCCCTTGAAAGATGACTTCAGATTAATAAACAAAAATATAAGAGACAGTATATTAAAAACATACTTGTATATACACAGAAAATTGTTTCGGGTGGTATTACCAGAGACTTGCATTAATTCACTATACATTTAAACAAGAATATATATCATTTCTATTAAAAAGACACTCCATTTTTTTAAAAGTACAACAACACAAAAGTGTATTTCAGGAAACAGTCTTGAATCTTTTTCAACACATTCTTACTAAAAAAAAAAAAAACAAGATTCCTCAAAAACAAGAAAATAGAAAGTAAAAGCATACATATTACCCATCTGTATTTCCAGAAGCTACTTTCTAATTACATATAAAAACAGCATTAGATGAAAGAGCATTACCTATGTAGCATGTCTGGGGCCTGGTTCAGCAGTGTATAGTACTGTCTCACAAATTCCCGCCCGACCAGCAGGGGACTAGGCTTCTCCATAACCATTGCTTTGGTCAATTCAACCTGGGGGAAGAAAAAAGGATCAAACATGTCCAAGTGGACTTTTGGTATGGCACTGTGGATCAGCACTAGACTGAAAACCATATGGTTGGCAGTTCAAACCCACAAGATGCTCCTCAGGAATCCTATACAGGTTTCCCTATGAGTTGGAACCAATTTGACAGCACTTAATGATAACATGTCTGACCTGAAAGATAAAATACAAAGGTGAAAGTGGTAGGGAATACAGACTCCCTGAGCTGAAGCCAACTAAAATACAAGAATACTTCAGCAATTCTTAGTTTTAAAAAAGGACTAAGCATTATAAAAATAAACAAAACCCACAAGGATCCGATAAGATTTTATGCATTCAGATTTACTGCATCAGATGACTATGGGGGGGAGAGGGGGCAGGGGAGAGAATCACCAAGAATTCATCATTATCTGTCAGATTCCATTTTCTTAAACTAAATATAAGAACTAGATCCCAGCGTAATTTTCTGTAAATTACTAAACCAAGTTAAGAATGTGACATTGTAAGTAAGCCCTGTTAGCAGCCCTGTGTACAACACAAGGCCATTCCACCCTCACACTCTTTCCCAGGTTTGAGCCCATTGTTGTTTTTATGTGCCGTGGAGTCAGTTCTGACTCACAGTGACACCGAACAGGGTTTCCGAGGCTGTAAATCTTTATGGGAGCAGAAAGCCTCATCTTTCTCCCGTGGAACAGCTGGTAGTTTTTAACCGCTGACCTTAATATTCGCAGCCCGATTCGTAACCACTACGCTACCAGAGCTCCTTTTGAGCCCATTAGTCCCTGTGTGAACCCATCTCATTGGAGGTCTTCTTCTCTTTTTCATTGACAGTCTACTTTACCAAGCATGATGTCCCTCTCCTAATAACATGTCCAAAGTACAAGACACATGTCTCCCCATCCTTGCTTCTGAGAAACATTCTCTAGCTGTAAGACAGACTTGTTCGTTTTTCTGGCAGTTCATGGTATAATCAATATTCTTCACCGACACTATAATTCAAAGTCATCAATGCCTTATTATTCCCAAGCATAGGGTGGTGGTGGTGGTTTTGTGCCATGGAGTCGGAACCCACTCATAGCGACCCTGTACAGACAGGGTTTCCGAGGCTGTAAATCTTTACAGGACCAGAAAGCCTCATCTTTCTCCCATGGAACAGTTTGTAGTTTCGAACTGCTGACCTTAAGGTTTGCAGCCCGATTCATATCCACTACACATATGAGGCAAGTGAAAATACCAGGGGATCCTCTAGTTCCCTTCCTATCAGATCTACACTCTGGTCTGGGTAGTTATAAAAAGAAAAAGTTAACTTTGGAGCTAACATCAGTGCTTTTGTAGCACACAGGCTAGTTTCAAACAAAATTAAACTCATGGAACTTGTTTCCTCATTGCCCTAGAAGGTGAAAGGGACGAGTAAATGAAGCTGAGTATCTGGTCTAGCAGGAGCTAGACGACTGTATTTGGGGGGAGGAGTCCACTGTATAGCTTTCTTACCTGTGACTAACCAAAGTATTCTTTTATAGGGAAAAAACCCACCAGGGCCTGGGTCAGGCACCTTGGTCCTCAAAGTGGCATCTTTGCTTTCTAGCACTTTATAAAGATCTTTGCAGCAGATTTGTCCAATGCAACACCTCATTTGATCTCTTGACTGCTGCTTTCACAGGCAATGATAATGGATGCAAGTAAAATAGCAATTCCTATCTCTTCTCAGTTAATCATGATGCTAGCTATTGACCCACTTGTTAGAAGTACATATTTAGGGTGCCAACTTTAGGAAAATCTCTATCCTTAAGCTTTTTCTTCCTAGTAACTTGAAGAATTCCATGTGTGAGGGCATTCATCTTATCTCATCTCTCCTTGGGCTTGCTTGTTTAATCTCCTTTATATCTCCAAAGCATGAGAAAGATGAGGTTTCTGTTCCCACAAAGATCTACAGCCTTTGAAACCGGGTACAGGGTTGCTACAAGGCAGAATCAACTCAAAGGCACTTAACCATATCTCAAAAAAGATTAATGCAAAACACCTCTCTTCCGGGAAGGAGTCTTCACATCAAGGATCAAACCTATCCTCTCAGGACACAGGGTTGATAGGGATGGGCAACTTAGACATTGGCTACCTAAAATAGAGAGGCTAGATAAAAAGAGGCTGGATAGACGTAAGAACACCCACACTTGCAGATGATGCCCATTTGACTGGACTTCAATGACTGGATAAACAGAGCTCAACCCTAAGAAGAAGAGGGAAAAAAGCGTCATCTGATACAATTCGATCAACATGACCTACACCTATAAATGCAGTAGCTCAAAAGAGGAAACAAGTCCCTGCTGCAAGAACTATACCCACCCCCTCCACACAAAGGGTAGACAGGAATGGGCAACTTGGGACACTGGCTACCCAAAATGGGGGAGGGATACAAAGGCAAGAAGTGACTGGCTTAATAGCTTTCAAGAGGGAACCTAGATCCAGAGAGAGTAGAGGAAGGTAGAATCTCCAGTGAGTGGTGTCCAGCCTGTCCAGGAAGGGCTGATGAAACAAAATATAGATGGGTCTCTTGTGATGCAATGGTGAATAACTGTTATCAGGACTGATTGCGAGGGTTGGAAATCTAAAGGTGGACATTCTGTAGCAAAGAGGGGAGTGATTAACCTTTCAGTCTAGGAGCGGAGGACCCTAGGACCATCAATGGAGAAGAGCAAAGAGCAGAATCCTACCCAGAGAGGCAGTAAGGCCTGAGATGAAGGCAGAGAAGACAACGTCAAGAGATGGTGGGGTTGGGGACTCGGGATCAGGAGATGGAAAGGGGCTGAGGACTGTGGGGGAGGGGAGTGCAGGCTTACAGGGTATAGCCCTTGGTTGGGTGAGGATGCACCGACAGGCTAATAACTATGCCAATGAAATGATGAATGATGGAATGAATGTAAAGCTGATGTTCTCCCATGTAGACTATCACACAATTAAACATTAAAAAAAAAAAAAATTCCCACTGGAGCCAAAACCCTGAATTTAGATTGATAGCCTTCTGAGTTGTGAGAAGACAAATTTCTGTTCTTTAAAGCCACCCACATACGTGTTTTGTTTTCTACTTTGTTTGTGTGTGCTTGTTTTATAGTTTTTTGAAAATATCATCACTAGCAAGCTAAACAGTTCTCTTTAGGCAGCAATATGGATTATGAATGAATCTACTGATTTCACTTGAAGTATAGAAGAGTAATTGAGAACACTGACAAGAATACATATGAAAAAAATGATTTGGAAAAACTACAGAAGAGAAAAAAAATTATTTGATTGTCAAAAAAATAAAATAAAATAGAGGGGCTATAAAGGCACAAAGTAGCTAGCTCACAAGTTTTCAAGAGGGAATTTAGTTTCAAAGCAAAGGGGGGAAGGCAACATCCCCAATGAATAGTTCTCAACTTGTCTAGATGGGTCTGGTGAAAAGAGACAGGGATAGGTATAGGAATCATTTGATTCAATAGTGAGCAATTGTTATATCACGACTAATTGCGATAGTCACAACTGTAAAGATAGAAGTTGTATAACAAAAAGCAGGAAGTAGTTGTACACAGGGAAGTCATCAAGGTAAGCAAGCAAGTTCCTTCAGGACAAAACCCCCTCTAAGACTGAAAATCAAAGGGAACACATGAGCAAGCATGTAAGCTTGCTGGTGACCACATTGGTCTACTGGTGAGTGGAAGAGGGGGAGGGGGGAAGGCGGTAGTGAAGAAATGGTCTGAGTTCAATCACATTCCACAGACTCCCATGGATCTGGAGATAAGAGAGAGAAGAAGGGCTGGTTGGTCCAAAATATGGTGAGACCTGGGGACACCTGAGCCTATGGACAAGGACATAGCCACAGAGGTCTACAGCTGAGAATGAAGCATCCAGCTGATATGGATAGGGATGGGCAACTTAGACATTGGCTACCTAAAATGAGGGGGTGATAAAGGCACAAAGTGACTGGCATACAAGATTTCAAGAGGGAGTCCAGTTTAAGACTATGGGGGGCAGGGTTTGAAAGAGTCCCCCACTGAATAGTCTTTATCTTGTCTACATGGGTCTGGTTAAAAGAGACGGTGGCTTGCAGGGTATACCGTGGTTGGTTAATGATGCATGGAAGAAATTGTAACCATGGCAATGAACGACATACGATAGGATGAATGTAAAGCTAATGTTCTTCCTAAGATTCTTATGATTCAATAATGAGTGTTACCAGGACTAATTGCGACTCTCACAATTGTAAAGGTAGAATTTTGCAACAAAAACAGGAGAATGGTTAATCTTACTGTCCAGAAACAAAGTACCCTAGGATTAACAAGGGAGAGGAACCCAAGCGGAATGTGAGACCTTATCCAGAGAAGCAGTGACACCAGAGACCCAGAGACACCAGAGACGGAGGCAGATATGGGAATATGGAGAGCAGCTGAGCACTCTAGATTCATGGGAAATGAGGGATTAAGAGATGGCCACCAGGATGCAGACTTGCAAAATGTGCCCTTTGGTGATATACAAATTATTATATATGCCTGAGTGTTTAAAAAAAAAAAAAAGCTAAAGTGAATAGAGAAACACTGTTAACTGATGGTACATGGAGGGGATTATAATCATTGTAATGAAACAAAGTATTTATGATTTGTTGAATGTAAAACTGATCTGCCCTGTAAACTTTCACTCAATCTGCAATAAAAACCTTTAAAAAAAAAAAAAAAAAAAGCGGGGAGTAGTTAATCTTACATTTGAAGACCCTAGGACCATCAAGAAAGAAGAGTATTAGTGGAATGGGGGATCCTATCAAGAGAAGCAGCGACAACAGAGATAGAGACAGAGATACTGACATGGAGAGAGGGAGCAGCTGAGGACTCTAGACACATGGAAAGAGAAAGGCTTGTGTGCTGGCGGCCAGGAGGCTGGCTTGCAGAATGTGCCCTTGGATTTCGGTGTGTTTTTGTGTACATTAAAAAAAAAAAGAAGGTAATAA